CGTACTTAGTTGTTGTGCGGAGTTTCTGGCACATCCGTGACCTGCGGGTAGAGGAAATGCTCTGAAAGGAGCAAGCAGGTCGGGGGTCCGCTGCGGTGTTCGTGTGTTTTGCTCCAAAAGGGAGCAAAAGCGGAGGGGCGGGGGGAGGGGGGCTAAAACGTCATCCGCTGCACTTGTAAATATTTCAGGCATCTCGCTGAGGTTTTTGTGCTTTTATTTTGTACAGCAGTGACTAAACAGACAGCAAAGAGGATTTTCCTTAGTTACAGTTTTGGTGTGAAACACGCCAGAATCTCCTATAAATTATTTTCAGAAATAAAATAAAATGGGCAAGTGTTACTCCATACATTAAAATATATCGAATATCAACATTAACACTGCTATCTATGCTTATTTAAAAAAAAACAAAACCTGCTTCAATTTCAAACATTGTATGATAAATACAGGCAATGTTCCTGATAAATTTTCTTGGAGTGTTGTTTGTTGTCATTGCATCTTCATCATTCTTAGAAAAATACTATATCCATCAGGCTCCTAACTAAATTCTAACAATTTTTAGTTTTCCCTGCTTGTGAATTCAGTTCCACGCAATTTATAACAACTCTTGACACCCCAGTAATAGGTGAAAGTGATTTGTCTCTCATAGATAGCAACCCCCAGCAGGGATGACAAAGCCATCGGCAAGGTGTAGTTTGTAAATGCTCGAGGGAGTCCAGAGTTTCTTCCATATGACTGCGTCCAGCTGAGTCTCTTCTTCCCTAAGGTCCCTGCTGCACAATCCCCTCATCTCCTTTTGCCTCTTCCCAAGAGGACAAATTCTGTTCTCAGAAATACTATTCACAATCATAGTTAATCTGCTAAAGTAGAAGTCAGCAAAGTTACTCCTGACTTCTCTTGCTATAAATAAAATGTGAGCCAAAATTAAACATGCTAAAATGTACAGTAAAAAATGTTTGTTTAGCTTTTTTGATCCATTTGTTAGGATATCATCCAGTAAATGAGATTGTTGCACTGTTCTCAAATTCTGGTAGTATGCATCTTTTCTTAGGTCTTTACTTACAGAGAAACAGATATATTCCAGGATATAGTTGCAGGATGGAGAATTCAGCGGCTGTAAGGGGAATACATCAGGTTCTATATATGAATGCTTTTTACTCTTTTCTTCCCCATTTGATTATTTTAGGACTTTAAAAAGGATTTAGAAAGGATTTTGCAACTTTCTAGCAACAAAAAGGAAAAAAAAAGAGACTTAATATATTGCTTTCATGCCTCAGCTAAAATCCTTTATCTTATAACTCCAGGCAGAGGAAAACCAGAAAATTACAAATTTTAACCATTCAGTGTTATTCTCTATTTGTTTCAAGTACTAAAAATGCAACTAGTGCTGCAGAAGACACAAGGAAAAGAAAGAATACTCTTTTTCAATACAGTAATACTCAGAAAATCTGCGTCAATTCTTAAAGTGTATTAAACAAACATTGCTAAACTACTCTAGGCACAGCCGATTCAAAATTTAAACTGGTCTTAATTTAATACAATTCATTTTTAAGGTGAAATATACTTGGTATAAGCAAGATCAATTGTTATTCCTATTTGGGGGGTTTATTGATTTTTACAATATCTACCTTTGAAGCATACCTTTCATTTATCCAGATTGATTTTCCTGAATGTCATGCCTGCCAGCATTTTGAAACTCTCTCTTTGTGATCTCTTTAACATGAGAACTCCTGAAGTCCTGAAATCCTAGTCTGAGGACTAGGCCTTCTGTCAGCCATGCGATAATATCACCCCCGGGGTATGAACCTTGCCTGCCGAGTACCTGGTGGCATGCCTGAGTCGCCTGTGGAGTGGCCTGCCTAGATCCTAAGACCCTTCCAAAGTGATGAAGGAAAATACTCCTGAAGAGGAAAAATGTTGGAGGAAATATATAACGACTAGACATGTTAAAAGAAAGCAATTACACACATTCATCAGCAGAAGAGTAAAAATGTTGTTGCAGCCACTTCAGAAAAGCTGTAGTAAATATTGAGGGCAGCTAAAGGGAATTTTCTGTTTTCCATATTTCACTGTACATATTCTGTTTTCCATATGTCACAGTGTTCTGCCTTTCAGACGATAATCTGCAGGGATATCTCAAAAAGGCAGTAAGATCAGAACTATTAGAATAACAAGATCAAAGTCAATAGTAACAGGTAACATCTTCAGAACAGGATGCAGAACGTCCAAATAGAAACAGCTGCTGCTCACAGTTGAGGCTGGTAACACAGCTACGTGCTGTAGGGATATGTGAGTGAGCGCGATGAACTGAAAGTATCAGTATAGCCTTATAAACATAGAATGCCCGAAAGATATCGAAAGAAATGACTAATCAATTTGTAAATAACTGAAGGTCAATAAGATGGTAGAAAATGGCCGACAGAGATATATGAAGAATAAACAATATAAACTAATCTAGTTTCCTTCTTTGACAAAGTAACTAGCCTCATGGGTAAGGGGAAAGTATGATTGATGTCGACACTAGCAAGTCATTTGCCATCATGCATATAACGTTCTTCTAGGCAAACTGCATAAGTATAGTCCAGATTTAATTGCTGGAATGTGGACACTTACCAGAGTAAAACCAAAAACAAAACTGCAAACCTTATATTCAGAGGATGGCTGATGGTCAGTCTGGGAGTATATAGACAGAAGACTCTTTCAAAAAGCTGTTAAGGCTAATACACTATTGAATGATTCCATTAGTGACTGAAAATTAAGTGCAACTATTAACAGATGATACCAGAATGAAAAGGGATGCAAGCAGTTTGAAAGGCAGGACTACAACTCTAAATTTTCTTGATAAGCTAGAGAAAATGCATGAAATTAGTAAAACATAATTCAATCAAGATAAAAACATACTATTGCACTCAAGAGAGAAATTCAAATGCATAACTACAAAATAACTAGCTAGGCAGCAGCACTTCAGAGAAGGATATGGGGAGGAAAATGGATCATCTTAAATTTATGATAAATGACGGATGTTCCATTACAAAAAGGCAAACATTCTGATGAGGTATATGTTACATATGGGAGATGACTATTCTGCTTTTGTTAGTTTTTATGGGTGGGGTACAGTGTTTAATTTTGGATACCATCCTTAAAAAATCCTTAAATAAAACATAGAGAGTCCAGAGGACAAAACTAAGACTATAAGTTTTAACAAATGTGGGCTGTGAAAAACATTTGAAGAAAGTGAGTTTACTGCTCCAAGAAACAGAAAATGGAGAGACATGATAATATTTTCCAAAATTAAAAAGTATTTGCAATCATTAGTATTTACAACCAGTAAAGAGTTTAATTTTCAGGAAGACAGATCTAAGAATAGGAAAAACTCATAGTAAAGAAGGGTGTGAAACACAAGAGATGATATTGGGCTTTGCTTTGTTCCCCAAGCCAAGTTGTCACTGGAAAATTTAAAGCAATTTAAACATATACTAGATAGGAATTATGCAGATGTATTTTATCTTGTGTCTAAGTGGGGACATTAGCTAACTGATGGCCTTTCAGGTTCTTTTGAGCCCTGATTTTCCATGGGCTTTTAAATAAGTAGCCTTATACCAGTGATGTCGCTGTATGTAGTAACGTAGCAGCAATGTCAATGAGGACATTGGGGAATACATATTAGCTGCTTATTATTTATTATTACATAATTATAATTCAGGATCATCCAGCACCTCTAGTCAGAATTGTGCTAGGAAGTGGACAAACGTGAGCGTATGATCACAACCTCCTTGCCTTTCCTTTTTAAAAGAAAGGCAGAGGGAAAGTAATCTAATCAAGTACATTCCCATATGTGCTTGTTTTTTTAAAAAAAAGTATAGCAAGCGACAGGCAAGCCCTTTTGTCTATCAAGCTAGTGTTAAATTTATTGGCTAATTACCTGTAAGCAGATGTAGATCTTGGGGAACACACAATACAGAGAAGACACTAGTGTTCAGATCAGATCAGGGGACGATGCTTGTGTCATGATCAGCGAAAAAAAGAAGTTATGAAGCAGGTTCATGTGAGAACCTGAGCAACAAGCTAACATCACATGTGCAATAAAAGAGTGATTGGGAAATGTGGAAAATACAGGAAAGAAAAAGAAAGCTAGAGAGGAAAGTACAGTGAGAACAAAAAAAACCCCCACAAAACTGTCCTACAAGGCTCTCTTACACCACAGAATCATAGGAGTAGGTGCAACTTGCTGGAATTCCTTTTTTTTTCTTTTTTTTTAATACTAAAATAAAATAAATCCTGTTTTTAATTTTTCAAAGCATTTTCTACCTGGGACGATCTCATTGGACTTATCCTAGCCTGTATTTACTGAACTTTAACTGTTCTCGTGCTTCACAGTAGCCTACATCTTAAAGAGGGGCTTGGAAATCACAAGCAT